GATCAACAAGCGGCTGACGCAGGGCACTATTTTTAAGTAACGCTGTGCCCGAGACCTGGGTTCTTTGACTAATTAGCAGTACCAGCTGTCCGACATCTATTGCTGACCAGAGCTATTCCAACAGCAAAGATACGAGAGGCTGGAAGTTGAAACATCCCACACCTTAGCATTTTGTAGTTTTGGGGAGTGTTTTGCCTAAAAGGGTCTGTGCCCTTTTCATCTCCTCTCCTTCATGGGAACAGAGCACTTTGACTCAGATTTGTAAAGGGATTCAGGTGCCTGAAGAGGCAGATAGGACCTAAAGGGTGATTTTCAGAAGTGGGTGGGCACCTAACTCCCATTACCATATGTTCTTGATTACAACACGTCTCCAAGAAAACATGCGCTGGTTTTTTGGAAGGCAGAATATAGCAAAACAGATTTTTCCAGAGTCTCCACTGACGGTATGACATAGCGTTAAGTCCTCCTGGAAACAGAGAGTCTAGGAAGTGTGGCATCCCACAGCCGCTCCTGGGACGTCACGCTTCTGGACACTTTATGTTTCCAGGAGGACTTGCTGTATATCACACAAGGCTAGGCCCCGGACCCTTTCAAGGGCAGTAGAAAGGCCATTACTCCTTTTCTTTATAAATGCTGGTTCCACATCACAAGCTTCATCTTAGATACCGCTGGCAGCTCACTTGTTGCTAGCTGTATGTAAGAAAATAGGGTAACTTCCAAGGCTCCCCAATTCCACGCTGACAGGGGTTGGTAGTCTTAACCCATCCCAGATCGATGCCTGTCCAGCCTCTGCTTGAAAACCTCTAGTGAAGGAGGTTACCCTGACCCATCCCTTTATGCAAATCATATCACGTCTTTGCTCAGTTTCCCCAGTTATAAAACGGGGCTCATAAGTAACCCTCCGCAGACTTTGCTTCTCATACTGCAGCAGGGGGCACAAAATGCAGTCCTATTACGGTAGGAAGGAAACATAGCTTTGCTAGCAAAAGTCCCATTGATCTCAGTTAGTGCAGGCTGTAGGAAGAGATTCATTGACAGGGATCCTGTATCCCCGGATAGTAATCCTGTGCAAATCAAAGGTCATCGCCAGGAGAGCATGAATAGGATCCCTGCAATTATAAGGTCAATGTGGGAGCAGAGCTTATCTTTTTGCCTTGTATTTCTATAGTGTCCAGGACAATAGGCCAGGCCTGAGAATCCAAGCGGCTTCAATGGGAATAATTAATACTAGTGATGAGTCTATGCAGCCTTCTCTCCGTCTTCAATTTGATTTGCTCACTGCATACGCTGGGGGAAAACTAGAAAAAACACAAACACCATATGGGCCCCAACTCTGCATCCATTGAAGCCAATGGGAGTTCTGCCATAGACTTCAATAGGAGCCGGATCAGACACTGTAACGAGCCCCATTTCCTTGCTCATTAGTTAATCCGAGCAAGCAGCTCTGGGAAGCTGTGTGCGCGGAGGAGGCAGCGCGCACCGCCGTCAGAGCTGCTTTTCAAACGGGGATGAAAGAGAGAGTGAACATTTCCCAGGGAAGCCGGCTCTGCCTTGGGGAATGTGTTGATCCTGAATTTCTGACATGCCACATAAATTACCGGAGACAAGAAAGTAAAATGGCGGGGCCCGGTGCAAGATTGAGCTCTGTATTATTTAGAGCAGAGACTTTAAAGCACTTAACGCTGGAAAGGAGTCACGTGACATTTACAAGAGAGACACCGTGTCTTGCCGGGTGCTTTTTGATCAGCACTATACATTGGTCCTTTCTCTCTCCATCGGGTGCTTGGCTGCATTTGTACTTAGACATCATACAGGAAACAAAACAAATCCTCCACTTTCATGCCATGGTGGCGAACGAAAGCACTTGCCTTTTCAGCGCGGCAATAATGTTCATCAGAGGCTGGCGTGCGTCATCTGGGCCAAGGTCTCCTTTGTAAACGGGAGCTTGTTGTCAGTCCATTTAGCCTGGTTGAGGAGAGATTTTATTGGATTGATTGTTCATGGTTTCTTATTGAAATATTGCAATGTCATCACCCCTCCGCCCGCACGAACCACGACTGGAAACTAACTGTGTTAACAGAAGAGGCCAAGGACTGCATGGTCACAGGCACGGAGCCCTCCCACTCTTGGGTGATGGTTTACACGGGCTCAAGGTTAAGGCATGTTGCTGGGGTTGGATGGGGGACAGAAAACCAGCATCGTTGCTGCCCATGCTGCTGGCATGACCTCACACTGAATTGGCACCTTCCACGTCTGGCTGCTTCTCGGGCATCTCATAGAAAAACCACGAGGCACTTGTACACGCCATGGCATTTAATCGTTAATTTAACAAGCTTTAAAAATTTTAACCTGGGTTATTCTGGTGCATCGTATTTGTGTTTCCACACCACGGTCTTTCAAACAAATTAAGTCCCATGTGTAATTCCTCACAGCAGGCGGAGCCAAATACCAATCTACCCCCCTTAATGTCTTTCCTAATGAATTACAGCAGGAGGCAGATGTTTGCCTGTAAAATAGCCTTCGCAGTGCCCTCCAATGTCCAAATTGCCCCTGAGCATGAGGCAGGTTTAGTTTGCCCATGCAGATGCATAGTGGATATAAGGCCAGGCTCTGATTGCTACAGAACATGCTGTACCATCGCCCATTGCGCTCTCTTAAATCCTAGGGTGACAGCGGAGGACCACTCGTTTGTACCTATGGGAACATCAGGAGGTGGTTTGCAGTCGGCATAGTCAGCTGGGGGCAGAACTGTGCAGAAAGACACAGTCCGGGAATGTACACCATCATCATCAACTACCTCATCTGGATACAGAGAAAGACAGCCTTGGAAGGGAAGCCGTTCATCCCCGAAGCAAAGGGGAACACCACGACTCCCAAGACACTCCTTTCGGGGGCCAGGAAGTGCCCAGCGCCTCCTAAATCTCCTCTCCTTTTCTTTATCTATTTTGTATCAACTATTTTGCTAAAAAACATTTTCAAATCCTAATAAAAAATCCATGTGATGATCTCATACAAAAAACTGGAACTTTTGGTTCCAAAATGATACCTTTTATTAGACCGACTGGGAAATGGCAAGAAAATGTTATGATGTTATGATCTCAACCCTTTCTCCCCAATAGCCGCTTTGGCAGGATTATCCAGATGAGCTCCTTCTCAGCATGGTGGGTTTAGATGCCAAGATGGTTGCAGCCCAGATAATTCAGAGGAGGAGGAGATGGCCCAGGCAGAGAGGGAGACACCACAAGCACGGAGATGTGCAAAAAATATCCTGAGAGCAATATAGCAGCACTTTCAAATGTCAGCACGTCTCAAACATTTGCCTCAGGGCTAATGCACGTATTGTCTAGCCTACGAGCAAAGGTAACAGCAGGGCAGTTGTTAGAAAAATATTGACTTTCCCTGGCTGCCCTTCTGGGTGCTGAGTATTGAGAATCTGGTCTGAATGGACTAGACAGTGAGCAGCTCCCCCCCGAATATCAAGCGGTGATTGAATGTTTACAGGATGCTTTTAAAGGGTTTATCTGAGTCACAACTGGAGAGGAACCTGATGGATTCCCCGGCCCTACAGACCCTGGGAAGAGAAGCAGCCAGCGAAAAGGTGAAAGGATGAAAGGATGTTGGCATCTCATCACTTCCAGCCTGCTACCCCGTGGTCTTTGCTTGCTGACAGATCTTGTCTTCCAGCGCCGGCCCTGGATGACTGCCTAAGCCTGGTTCCCTGGTCCTGCCTGTATTCCTGTCTCGGCCCCTACTGTGCTCCCTAGCTCTGCTCCATCCCGGCTCCCTCGCAGTATTTGGGATTTACAGGTGTCTGAATGTGGCCTCTGTCCTGGTTTCATAGATTTCATAGACATTAGGGCTGGGAGGGACCTCAGAAGATCATCGAGTCCAGCCCCCCGCCCAAAGGGCAGGAAGTCAGCTGGGGTCATAGGATCCCAAAATTTTCTGCCTCCAGCTCCTAACTCTGACTTGTCTTCTGGTTCTTGCTTCTGGGCCTGGCTTTTGAACTCTAGCTCTGGCAGCCTCTCGGTTACAACCCCTCCACCGTGGCTGGGTCAGACTGCCTGTGCTCTGGTCCTTACAGTGCTATAGAGAAGCAGAAGAGCGCTAGGGAGATTTTTTTGTGATTCACCCATTAGTTATGGTAATTAGACACATTGTGGTAAATAGTGCCATGGCGTATGGACTCTGAGTCTTTCTAAACAGGCAGCGTGTAATAAAGAAGATGGCTAGTAATTGCAGGCTCAGACAGAAAGCTCAAACACAGCTTGATTTCCAGCTTGTCTCCCTTGTTTACCAGGAGCCCACACCTGTTTGGAATAATGTACAGTGTACAGGGTGGCTGAGTATTATACTGCAACCAAGTGATTCATTACACACGGGAAGAAAAGAAAAACCGGGTCTTTTTCAGGGACTTATCATAGGCACGTGGGAAATATTTCCACTTCCAAGTGAAAATAGCTTGGTTTGGGGTGTTCAGCGCATGACAGGAGGTGGCCAGGACCCCAGACAACCTGACCCTTGGCTGTCAAACAAAGGCCATTGCACAGTGATGTCGGCCCTCGCAGGACTGAAGTCGGCCAGGGTGCATCCCATCACAGCTAATGGTCTTTCAAAGCCCTGAGCCTGCCTGATGCTGTGCCCCATGTCAGGGTGCACCTCTCTCCTGCTTGCACACAAGTGTTTCAGGAATACCCAGCAAGGGATTCCCTGAGCACACAGGGCAGGATACGATAGAGGTGGGAGATCCTCAGGGCACCATCTGCAAGTGGGGGAATCTGGGGCTCCGCTGCTTGCAGAGCTATGACCCAACGTGGGGTGCAGCAGATAGATATGGGCACCCTAAGCATGCATGCTTGGTCCTCTGAAGCCCGGGAGCATCTGCCTAGGGCAGCTGGAGAGCACTGGCAGCCCTGGGCCATTCGTGCCCTTCCACCATAAGCAAACAGACATTAGTCATGAAAAAGAAGCAAAAAATATTGCAAGGTTCAGTCACTCTCGCAAGTTTGGGCATTTGTGGTGGGGAAAAGGACTAGGACATCCGTTCACTCAGCTTTTGTGCCTCTATAAAAGATGTCATGGCATCACAGAGGTGACATCTGTTTGCCACCTTGGAGTCTCTTGAGCTGTCTGGAAAGGGAATACGAAGTTGTTAGGCAACATAGCACAATGGCTCTTCAACGTCTCACCCTTTGCAACACTGAAGAAGCTCAAGGACTTGCAGCAAGGATAAAAGTGTGCGAACGTGCAGGAGGATCGTGGCTAGCAAATTGGTTTTAATTAGCTTGATGCTTTCTGGCTAGCTAGCACAGAAGCCTTGTAAATGAGAATTAATTCATCCACCTTAAGCTAATGCAAACCCATCTTGGCATAAAAGTCAGCCTTTATTTGCTGTGTTATCTGAGCAGAAAATAATGCCTAATTATTATTAGTTCTGAGTAATGCTTATGAAAATTGCTCGACATTAATTTTGCATGGCTGACTGGTTAATGGATGCGCAAGGGTCTTATAACCCTCCGCAAAAAGACTAATAAAAGCTAAAAACAAGGGGAATATGTTACTTTAACAGCTATTAGTAGAAGATTGTGTCTGCAAGCATTAATACCTGTATTTATTTTCCCTTCTATTAATAATATATCAACAGATTATAGAAGCGGTGGCAATGGCTAGATGTCATGAAATATTTCTTAGTGCCGCATGCTGTTCAGCTGTGGCGTTCTTCCCGCAAAGGAAATGATGGATGTCCTCCCACTGGTCTCATTTTTGTCTGAGGGTAGCGTAGCGTACTGGAGTCGCTAGCACGCAGCGTGGACAAATCCTCTATTTGCAGGGAGCTAATGGGTGAGCTGGTAGGTCTTCCCGCTCCTACTGGCTGTAAGGCTGCGATACTGCAGGAGAAATTAAAGCAACACGATCCCATGGGGACACCGGGGAAGTGCTCGTCTGGGGTCTAATCCCAGCTCTGCTCTTGATTCACCGGCCAGGTTATAGCACGAATCTGTGCCTCGACTTCCTACTGGTGAAGCGATGATAATCATTCACCTTGGTATCCCACAGTTGCACTCAGCCTCAATCCTGTGGGCCAAATCCAGCACATGGAGCCATGTTATCCAGCCTGCAGGGCTTCTCACGGGCCTGGAAATTTGGCGGGGGGGGAACTGTGGCAGCGTTAATTGTCACAGTTTGGCAATTTATGCTGTCACCAGCCCCCTACTCCATAATGTCTAGACCCACAGGGAGCCCTCGGGCTTGTTGACACGGCCCCCTGTTCTGGATCATGCCAGCATGGGAAGTCCCTTCCCAGCTGAATCCAATACGTCGAGTTAAACCAGGGCACAGGGTTGGGCCATGGCTGGATCCAGTGCGCAGGACCGGGCTGATACACAGGATCGCCCTATGGACAGATCCAGTGCATTGGGCCAGGCCAGCCTGCTGGATCAACCCACACACTGACGTTACCAGCCAGTCCCTTGCTGGATCCAGCCCACGGACTGATCACGCCCATGGGATCTGGCGCTAGGCCCCTCATCCCACCCATGGGTTCACAAGTCTGAGCTCCACTGCTATAACACATTAAGTTGCAGAGATAAAGATTGTTCATTTTAAAAAGTTTGGGGATTTTCCCCTATATCTCTATCCCTAGAAATAAAACAACATTAGCAAAACTCTGCTGCAGTTACCACAGTTACAAAGGAAATTTGGGGGTTTCAGATCGTGGGGGGAGAAGACCCAGTCAACCTGTGATCAAAGGAGTGGTTTCCCCAGCCAAGGATTCTGTTTGTAAAACCTAAAGGTTGCAGGACACCGTATGGACTATGAGGAAACTTTCTTATGGGAAGATTTTTTCAAGTGATTTGAAATCAGAATGAAGTGTGCCGTTCTCTCACAATCACGTCATTTGGTTCTGACTCTTCATTTTTTAAAAAACATGTGTCTTCTCATTATGGTAAATTATGTGAAAATAGGTGAAATGGGAGGAAATTGCAACATTTCAGCTCCATCCAAGTGAAACGTTTCGACCAAGTGGCTTGGATGTGTCTAAATTGAACTACCTCAGAATCTCTGTTCCACCAAATATTTGGAAAGGTGGGTTTGGCCACTCAATTTCGGGTGAAAATGTTGGAATTTCCCCATGAACATCCAACTTCTAATTTTCTGACTGGCTCTGATGCGTTAGCAAATGTCGACTCTCTTCACAGCTGTGCCAGATGCCCAAGTCAAACCCTGCAGCGACTCACCAGCACACCCGAGCTGTCTCCAGATCTGAAGCTGAGCGGTTTTTTGGCTCGCCTGGACTTTTCTCAGAATTAAGTATCTACCCTTGGAGAGTAGCGCTGCATTGGGAATGGTTGTAGACCCATCCCAGTCATCGGGTGGCTGTGCAGCCCAACGGAGGATGTTTCTGGGGCCAGATCTTAGGGTCAACGTTCAAAGCAAACACAAAGTTAGAGTATCTGAAGAACGGGATGGAGAGCAAAGCTACTGTTATATAAACCACTGTGATGCTCTCACGTGGAATATTGACTTCTCTGCCAGTCACCCCATCTCTAAAAATGGATAGCAGAAACCGAGGGGGGTCGGATGCAGGAGACGAGATTGATTAGAGCCCTGGGGAGGCTTCAGTGGAACGAGAGGAAGGAAGAACCGGGGCTGGTTAGTTTGGAGAGGAGACAAATGAGAAGGGACTGGCTGGAAGCAGACGTGATAATGATTGTTATCGGGAAGGCAAATCAGGCCCCGCAATTTCCTCTGCCTCATAGCGTGAAAACAAGAGCACATTCAACAACAACTGAAAAGCAACCAATTAACCAGGCATGCACTGAATCGCTACTTCTTTTAACCCATGGAACTCATTGCCACGTGGCGTCACGGAGGCTGAAAACCTGGGAAGATGCCGAGAAGGAAGGGGCAGGTTTCCAGAGGGCAAGAACATCCACAGTTGCATCTCAGGAAACGATATTGCCACGAGGTGAGTTCAGCAAGTAA